GTTCTATCCTATTAGGCTCTATAGATATTGCTGTGGGATTATGAAATAGAACATACAATGCATCTCAACCTTACTCAACTCATCAGAAAATAGCCAGCATGTGGCTCAGTGGGATAAGTGACAGGATCTGCAATTTGAAAATAGCCATCCCCTCTTTGCTGACATACTGTGCTTTTCACAATCCTGCCCCCTAAAGCTGCTTTAGCCAATCTCATGTCAATGTATGGCATTACAAGCCCATTTTCCATAGCTCAGGCCAAATGGCTTGTGGGGGGAAGAGGAACACCCACCTCGCTGATGCAGGCGATCACACAAAAGCTGTCTGGTAACCTTAGACCCTGAACCTGCTGAACCCATCTAAACCTGCACAGCATAATGACCAATTTGTATTCCGGATGTGCACCCTAAACTGCAATGTCATAATACACTTTGACCTATGTGTACCACTTCAGTGCAGAACAGAAAGACAACATAAGTTATAAAAGGAGACCTACAAGGTAGGGTGCCGGTGGCCAAAAACACTTCTCAATCTCTTGAGTGAAGCACCATGCTTCTTTGTTTGAGATGTTCTCATGAACACTAGTCTTAGAGCAGCGCAGTAAATATGCACCAATGACATTACAGAGTTGTACAGAGAGCAGATAGGATTACGTTGGGAGAGATTATCCTGGAACACAGGGCCCACATGCACTCTTTCCAATCATGAGGATCCCTCTTGGGTTTGCCAATCAAACACATTTGTGCACCTAATGAACTAACAGAGGACTTTTACGACAGACGATTATCAAAGGAAATCTCCAACAAACATTAGTCTTGAATTAGATGATAGGAGAAATGATATAGATTACAATCAAATGTATACTCAGTCTAATACCCAAAATTAAAACACTCTCCTAAAGACATCTCAGCAATTAACATACAGACTAATTCAAGCCAAGGCACCATAGGGTTGTATTTCAAATAAAGTGTGACTGCACGGGACAAAAGAAATGACAGAGATGTGGTTTGTGCATCATATAGAGCAGACATTTTGTGGAAAAAAATACTGCTGGAGTGAAAAAAGGTTCATGGCAAAGAGAAAGCAAGTGCAGTATCAGTACAGCACGTGTGCACTAAATTTCCCATAAGTGCAACAGTCTCTGTTTTGTCAATCTTCACTGACTACGTCACTTCCTCTCACTGCAGAGAAACTCTCAAGTTTCATATGAGCGTTTCTCAGATGGACCCCCACCCATCCCATTTCACAGCAACAGCGGGTGCTTATTTCCTCTTCTTATCTCTTCTTATCTTTTCAGGTTTAACCTGTTAAAGAAACGCCAATTCTACAAATGCAAGCACGTTGTGCGCTCACATATTTAACCAGTTTGTGCAGAGGAGTGTGATTTATGAGTCTGGCACAAAGTAAAACTTTCTAAAAGTTTGAGATTTTGCCCTCCATCTTGTCTACTTCATATTTTGATATAGTTCTGCTTCTACTTATTCCTACTCTGTTATAGGCATTTTGTAGAAGAGAATTTAAACTGAAATGTCAGCCATACTACTGTATTTAAACATTTTTTTTTGAGAATTATCTTTGGGGTTAGGGTGACAATAAAGCATAAAAGCTCATGTAGTATTTTTCGATATATTTATTACAACCTTTCTGTGTTGTAGCACACATCTAATTTCCTTAGACAAAAAAGCTTGTCCAGTAAACATTAAAACTGATCTCCAAATGTTACAGTACATACTGTATGAGCACATGTACATGGATACACATCTACTGTGGAAAACCTACAGATGTTTCAAACACAACCCTTTGGCAGAAAAAAACAGCTTTAAGCCTCCATTCATGCCAAAGCCAGTCCCAGGTACAGTCAGGCTAAGCTGCAGCAGATTTCTTACGAGGTCACCCCAAGGTCATTCCAATAACCTTATCTCAATCAGGAACATTCTGCAACCACAAGTCACCACAGAATGGCTGGGCAAACTCCTGGCACATGGTTCAACTGTACAAAACTACACTACAAATACCCAAGAACTAAAATAGCCAACTTACTGCAATCAAGCAATTGCATGTGGTTTAGATGTGTGGCAAGTAACATGCAAGGACTTAACATAAAAGGACATCTTCATATGTGTTGGTAAACCCTTAGTCATTTAGGCTTGAGTACACAATACAGTTAAGCTCATAAATATAGTCAGTTAGATATTATAGCAAACTGGTGATGCACCATGGTGATGCGTTACATTGATCAAAAATACAAAACCATCCCCTATTTTCATTTACTATTTAACATTCTCCTCACTATATTTGCATTTCAATGCATACAGTACTGCTGTTTCCTTCAAAGCCGTGAGGCAAGCCCTCTGTCACATGGTTTAAGCAAGCTTTTGATCACAATAGTACATCTGCTCCAGCTCCACCATAAACCTCCTCTTCTCACAGCAAGCTAGCACATGTGACGGTTGCCTTCCCAGCCAGTTGTCCTATGGCGTGCTGTGCATATATATATGTAGTGAGGGCAGAGCACACTGTTTGCATCCACCACAAATAATGCATGATACATTCTGACACCACTAACATATAGACATAAAGACATGATGAGCTGATGCCAAAGAGGCAGATGGAAAGCAAACAGCAGCTTTATCCAAAATTATAAGCAAAAACTAACAGCATTAGAAAAGTCAATTCCTATATGATCTCACATCAAAAACACTAGCAAAGCTGAACTGAGTCATCTAAAAAAGAGGCAATCCCTAGCTCCAAATAAATTTTATTACTGAAAGGATTAGAGTTTCATGCCCAGTTTCTGATTCAGGAAGACAAATGTTCCAAAGCAGAGTTCAAACCAGAGTCTGCAAAGAGTTCAGGGCGTTACTAAAGTCAAATGAGGACTCCGGCTCACTTGGCTCCCCTTGTTTGTTTTTATAACACTGTGTTCCCCCTTCAATTAGACAGTGGTGTTTAGCTGGGAGTGGGATCCATTTTCTCTTTGCTCTGTTGGTCGAGACTGAGGGAAAATCTGCTGAGTGCTTAGGAAAAGGCGCCCAGCACATACCAGGTTGGCTGAGCCTGGACTGCTGAACTCAAATGACCCACATTCTCTGATTACCAAAACAAATGAGGCGGAACTCTCATTATTCAACCAGAACACGACCCAATCGCAAGCCGGCAAGCCGGAGCAGGGCCCAATCAGAAGTGAAGAACACAAAGAATAACCCAGTTAATAGAGAACGCATCAGGATGGGGCTCAAGCATAGAGCCAAAAAGAGTATGACTGGCCACAGGCCACAGACTGTGGCATCAAACTACATCACTTTCTTTGTGGGAACCATGAACACACAGGTATGACCACACATCTGTGACCACATACCTACACAGTTATGCACATCCATATCACACATAGGGCTCCTCTCCTCCTACATATTTTGATTAAATGAATTAGGATTCCAGGACAGGGAAACAAGGAGATAAGCGTGGCAAAACACTGTTGAGATGTTAATATGATACAGTACAATTATAATAGCAAACACTTTGTATTCTGAATTATTCAACTGCTCAGTAAAGAGAAGTAGTACACAAAGGAGATCACAAAAATCCCCAGTGTTCACACCTACAGTGTCCATGTAAGTCCAGCTGGACACATCTGATCACTGTGAGAGAGAATTCACTGACCATTTTTCTATGAAGAAGTAGAAAATTCAAGCCACCAGCTTCACAAAGCTCAATTAATAAAAAGTCTCAGCTACTGCTTAGTGGCAATGAAACAGGCACAGCATGTGGCATCCTCCCCACACTCGCTCTTGCATCTGAAAAGGGCGTGTGCACGTGTCAGCCATGTCAAAGCAAACCCCCATTTTGTTGGGTGATTTCTACTTTATGAGATCTTTATGTACTTAGCACTGTATTGTCAGGGGGTCAGTCGGTCTTTGTTGTAGAACACCCTGTTCCATGAGCTGCTAGGCTAAAGATAAGGCTATAAAATATTACAGCCAGCCTTATGAGACAGATTACTGCATGAGCGGTACAACACCCTTGGATGTAGCATGTATTTTGGCGCATTTATGCACAAAAGCTTCATATTTTAACTACAGGGCGGTGCTGTGTGGAGCTCTCCTGCTCCCTCTCTGAGCTCCTCTAGCTGAGTCTGTTGCTGGCCAGATCAGCTGGCAGTCTGGCCGACGGGGGTGTGGCACATCACAACAAAGAGCTTAAGAAGCAGACAAGCATCCGCATAACTCCAACTGCCCCCCTTTCTCTTTCTTTACTCACTTTCCGTTTCCTTCGCTTCTCTACCTGCATCCCGAGGAGCGCCAGCGCACGGAGAGAGAGGTCAAAGAGTTTGTTTGTTAGCCTGTGTCGAGGTCTCCATGCTGGGCTGCACTAACTGTTAGCCGCCGCCGAATGCTAGGCTCGCTAAGGGCGTGTGGATGATAAAGTGTCGGTTGTACAGGGGCCTCAGCTGCTTTTGTTGTTGTTGTTGTTTACCGAGCGACCACTGAACGCATTACAACAAGGCTAGTACACGGCTAACGTGGCTATTGTGCCTGCAAGACGCAGTAACAACTTCTATAGGCGCTCGACAAAGCTTTCAAGAGTGAAAGTGAGGCGACCCGCCCAGTGTGCTGAGGGGGGATTGCATGGGGGAACTGTTGCTATTGACTCTAGCTATAGGTTTCTCTAGTGGGCGTGGCCATATTTACGACGCTGCTTCCCTCAGTTAAATAACACAGTAGCCTACTTTCGTTTTAACAAGTGTGTATGTCTCTTTGAGTGGTGAGGAAATCCTTTATATATCTCTTTTTTTTTCATACAGTAAACAGAATCGGTGTTTCAGGCGTTGTGGCTGATTTTTACAGTTGCAGTGCAGCCGTGTTTACATAGCCAATCCTCCAGTACAATCCAAGATTTTTATTTCGTTATCCCGACCGCTTTCAGCGCTTTATGTTTGATCTGCACAAAGGAAAAAATGAAACAAATGTCAAAAAATCACACACTTGCTGCAGTGGAAACTGACCTGTATGTGTCCTTAGGTGAGCTTTGAGATGGGACGATTTGCCATAAACTTTTTCGCACCCTGAATAGTGGCATTTGTGCTTTTTCTGAGGGGATTCCTGTTCAATTCGAGCCCTCAGCCGCTTGCCTCTTTGTTTAAGGGCAGCGGAGTCGACGGGGATGGCTGTAGGTGTGGCAGAGTTTCCATCATCTCTCGTTAGGGCTGGTGGCACGCTTTCCTCTTTTATTTTTGCCTGCTCGGCAAAATGGTTAGGGGTCTGCTGGTTGAAATCCGCAAGGATCCTGGCCACCACGAACAGAGAAGAGTTGTCCTTCACCAAAGCCTCCTTGGTCTCCTCTCCGCTCCTGGCAGCAGCCGCAGTTTCGGGTCTGATCTCTCTATTCCCTTTAGGACCATGGACGATTGCACGGCTGGACATTGACACAAGGCACTCTGCTGCAAAGTGTTCCATTTCGGAAAAAAAAAAAAAAATCACAAAAGAAAAGGAAAAAAGGAAAAGAAAAGTGCCCCCCCCAAGGAAACGTTTCTCTTAGGTCATTCAGACCCGAGCGCCACTCAGTGAACTCCGCGGAATCCCTCTCTTTGTGTGGTGCTGATGTGGAGGTAGCTCTCATAAAGCAACTCACTTTGCGATCTTACCGGCTTTTCGGCAACACTGACATCCTGCGTTAAACCGCGCCAAAATAAACCGTTCGCGCACCGCGTCCTCCTCTCCTCCTCCTCCTCCTCTCCACCTCCTCCTCCTCTACACGCGCTCTTTCCTTAAGGAGGCGTTTATAAACCCGGACTCCTCGGCTGCGCACAGTGCCATGGTGGCCCCGCTCCTCTGAGTGGAAAGTGACAGGCGGTGTGTCGCGCTGCGCTCCGCGCTGACCGTATCCATGCTGGGGGCGGGTCCGCGCGCGCCTCGTCACAGCGGCCGCGCGCCTCATTGGCTGCCTCCGCCTCATCGCCCCTGCTCAACTTCACTGAGTACCGGAGAAACTTCATTCAGCGCGCGCGCGCTCCCGCGGGTGGGCGCTACGGTGTATTGTGTACGCGCGACTGAGGTGTTGCTTAATGTGCATCCTTTTGTTTCCTCGGCCTGTGTGTAAGCAGTTCATTACAGTGTTATGAATGTAAACTTTTTAAACAGTGTATGAACCTAAAACCCTCTCATCTCCACATCAAAAAAACCGCTGCATTTATGTCATAACTGTGCGTTTTGGACGCTTTAAAAAATGAGTGACGTAGATATTGGACAGTGTTAAAACAGCAAGTGTTTTAGAGTTTATGATTTGTGAGCCAAACTGCAAATCTAAAATGTAATATCTTCCCATATATTTATACGCAATATTTTTGTCTAGCCTACACACTTGACATGATGTTTCTTTAAGAGTTCTTTAGTAAAGAAGATGGTTCTATATAGAACCATGAGAACCCTTTGCATGATTATAGGGTTCTTTGCGTCATGACAGCGTTCTTCACTTCACTTCTTCACAAAAAAATGATTCTTCAAGAGCTCTTTAGTAAAGGCAGTGGTTCTGTTTAGAACCATGAGTTCTATATAGAACCATTTACATGCTTAAAGAGTTGCTGGCATGGTGAAATTCTTCTTCAGATTGATGGAGAACGTGTTGAATATGGTTTCATATAGAACCTTTTTGAAAAGGGTTCTATGGTTCTATATAGCACCAGAAAGGGTTCTTCTATCATTACAAGCATGATATAAATAGAACCCTTTTTGGTGCTATATAGAACCCTTTTCAAAAAGGTTCTATATAGAATCATATTCAACACTTTCTCTATTAATCTGAACAACTCTGTCATGATGCAGAGAACCATTTAATCATGCAAAGGGTTCTTTGATTCTTCGTGGTTCTATATAGAACAATTTTCTCTACTAAAGAACTCTTAAAGAACCATCATTTTTAACTGTGTACTTAGCCGATTGATTTTAAGCAGCTGAGATGAGTATTAAATTAGTATCTCAGTTGTTACTTATTATTACAATTGAATGGCATGGCCATATCAATCTTACAGCAGATTAATGTTAATTAGTGTTGTGTTGCACAGTGCTAAAATATCTGAATTGTTTTTAGCTTTTAGAATCTAAAATCTTTGTGCATGCAGCATAAATGAAAAATCTCCCATCCCAAATCACACAGAACATCCAGTGTTAGTCAAGTCATGTTTATTTCTAGAGTGCATTTAAATCAACAGATGCTGACCAAAGTGCTATACAATCCAATTCAAAGTGTTTAATAAAACTACAATGACACAGGAAAACGTTAAAGGCATTTGGATTAGTAGGACAAAAAGTAATAAAAAGTAGAAACTTAATGGAGTTATTGTAAAATATTAATAAGTAATAAAAAACATAAAACAGACACTATATAACATTAAAAAATAAGCCATAATCCAAAAAGAACTCTGGGCCTCCTTCACCAACTTAAGAAGACATTTCTTCTTAAAACCCACTTATGCAGTTCATGCTGAGATTCTGACATTCACCAGTGTTTTTTGGAATTTGTTCTTAGGTAAGAACAGAATCTACACACACTCAAGAGCGCAAAGGTGCAAATAATTCTGCAGTTTAAGAACACATCATGAATCTTTTTCTTAGGACCTTTCTCAAGAGCACATTTAAGGAAAAAGATATTGGTGAATGAGGCCCAATGAGTTTGTTAGGGGAAGACCTAATGAGGAGTGGAAGACTATTCCGCAATTAAGGAGCAGCTACTGAAAAGGCATGGTCACCCTGTCCCTTTAAACAGGACCGTGGAATAGACCAGAACAATTTTTCAGAAGTAGATTAATACTCATAGCCAGACAGTGTTAACATGTCTGAAGTGTTTTAGTAGCTGCACACTCATAAAGATGTGTGATGGCGTAAAATATTGTCACTTAGCTAAGGAATGAAGAGGTTCTTGGGCTCTAGTAAAATGTCTCTTGAGTAACAAAACGTTAACTTGTTGCTGTTAGCTAAACTGACTGCACACCTCTGTTCAGTGCCAGCAGACATAAGTGACAGTGCTTCGAGAAGAAAAAGTCAACATTGTTTCAGATGATCCAAGAGATGACAGTGAGCGGGTTGTCATAATAGTGCCAGCACATCCATGACACTGTCACTTCTTAGCCCCACATCAAATGGAGATACAGCTAAAGAATAAGTATGAAAACAGAATAACTTGCTTTCCAGATTTCAGCAGCAGAGTCATTGTGAGGCCAATAGCAATATGAAATAAAGGGAGATATGAGATAGATGCTACACATTTTAGACAATACTAATCATAAAGATTCATTATTTTGTAAGTATTTCTGAATAGTAGAAGCAGTAGGAGGCCAAATTGGCAAATTTCAAAATCAGACTTCATTGAGCAGAAAAACGAAATGAGAGCAGGATGAGAACGACCTGAGTGGACCTTTTAACAGCAGCAGTGCGCTTCCTCTCCTGTGGGAAAGCGTGTAGTCTTTCAGCTCTGTGCACAAAAGGCCTCTCTGGAAAGTTCCTGGTGTTCAGTGAGAACAAGGCTACACTGCATTCAGAGGGCCATCTGGCTGTATTACTTTACATATTCTTTCACCACAAGGACTGGGTGTTCTTGCGTTTCATGTGGTGCTTCGAAGGCACACTCCATGACAGCGCAACAACAAGGGGGCAGTTCCTCTTTCACAAGATGGCTGCCACAAAAGGAAGAAAAATGCCTGTCGCTCTGCTTTCAATAGTGTGACATGCATAAGTGACAAGACAATAGCACATTTCTGTCTACATTTATCTAGTTTCCAAACTGTCATTTTCTGCAGTTCTAAAAGATTTGTGTTATATATTTGCCATTACAACTAGCAATGCTCCAGGCATATACAAACACAGCACGGTAGTAGTGACTTCATAGATGCAGATATGCAATTGTCTGTCTGCAAAATGCTTCAGGCACAGTATTACTTCACTGCAGCAACTGTGAAGATAGTATGAAAAGCATTTACACTTCATCACTAAGTAAGTAATTGTGCAATCTGTGCAAAGTATTACTGAATAACTCTCATTTCACCCACACAGTGAAAAACCAACCCTCTGGCCTATTACTTATGAGCTGAGCTGCCCATGACACAGTAGTATCCAAAAACGATTTGGATGGTGGGTAGAATCTCTCCCACTAAACGATCACTCCTGTGAGATGACTCACTTTACTATAAAAATTTTCAGCCCTGACCCCTGAAGTTTTAAATCAAAAACTAGTTTTCTGACGGCAGTTCTCTGAGATGATTCAGGTGTGAGTTTGCCAAAGGCACTGCAGAATTGGGATTTCAAAAAGAGCCGTCTCTAGCTTTTTGCAAAGATCTTAGCAGCCTTGTTACTTCTGAGAAGCTCAAGTCAAACACCTGTCCTGACTGGCTTGCTATGATGTGAGTAAGGAGAATGCTCTAATGCTACACTCTTAAAAAAGATGACTCTTTAAGGGTTCTTTAGTAAGACAGTGGTTCAATATAGAACCATGAACACTCAAAGAACCACTTGCATGCTTAAAGGGTTGTTGGCATGGTGAAATGGTTCATCAGACTGATGGAGAATGTGTTGTATGTGATTCTTTTTTATGGTTCTTTAAGCATGCACATGGTTCTATAAAGAAATCATGACTCTAAATAGAACCACTGCCTTTACTAAAGAACTTAAGAACCATATTTTTTAAGTGTTTAGTACTGCAAAGCCTGGCCATGTGTCTATTCCAAGACTGCCCTGTCCTAGAATATGTGGCCCTGGTTCTTGAGATCCGTGTCTAATTGGTACAAGGAAGCATCCTTATCACTGGAATTTGGGGAATAAAATGCATGAGAAATTTAAAAAAAGGACCATTAAGCTGCATTTGTTTTACAGGGAGTTTCTGCAGTGTAATCTGTAAGGGGTTTATAACTGGAGGATTCATACAGTATAACGTATCTGTACAATTTCTCTGAACTACCACAGATAACCTGTTTTGAAGCATCATAACCTTGATGTACACGTTAGCATTATGTGTCAGGCAGAGCATTTGGTAGCAACAACACCACATAGCTGTCCCCTTTAGGTTTTATAACTATATTACTGTGAGGTCAGTTTGACCAGGACTACTATTACTGAGGGAGCTCATTCACACAGAAATTATTATTTGTCAGACTAATAAAAACTATGGACATTGCAGCTTTAAAGTGGATTGATATCACTGAACTTATCAATATCCACTTAAAAGGGACACTCGGGTCAAAATGAAAAATTTAACCATTGCTACACACCTACTCATTTCTTACAGCGGTGCTGTAAGAAAAAAAGTAGTGAAAAAAAAACCTTCTTTTGATGTATCTTGAAGGTGTAAGTACATTTTAGGAGACTTATTCCTAAATTATTCCTTTAACAGAGAAAAGCGTTTGACAGCGAATTGAGGTTAGTGCTAGCTAGCACTACAGATGTTTATTAGCCTCAATATCAGTGACTGGCAGTCAGAATTTGTTGACCACCATATTGATTCCCAATGATTGTGTGGTGTATTCCTGGGCATTGTAGTGGAAGAATACTGATGGGTGAAAACACAAAAACAATACAAAATCATGAATTCTGTCAAACTGATGAGGCTGATGGGTGCAATGCTGCAGTAGAACACTACAAAACATAACAAATAACATACGCTTGTTTTATGTCAATGCTAGTTTTAGGCTGGAATGTCCATTTAAATTACAGTGTCTCCACAGGTAAAATTAAGTTCAGATAGAGCTAAAGACCGTTGTATAATCATACTATCAATGCAGTCAAACCATATGTGTTCACATTATGGAAAGGAAATAGTGGCTATCTTATACAAACATCATAAAAACATAAAGCCAGCTGAATTTATTCAGTAG